TGATGAAACTGACCCCTGAGGGTCATGTTTTGGTTGAACGCGCCCTTGAGGGTCGCGTTTATGTTGAACGCGCCCCTGAGGGTCGCGTTTAGGTTGAACGCGCCCCTGGGGGTCGCGTTTAAGTTGAACGCTTCCTTGAGGGTCACGTTTATGTTGAACGCTCCCCTGAGGGTCGCGTTTAGGTTGAACGCGCCCCTGGGGGTTGCGTTTAAGTTGAACGCTTCCCTGAGGGTCGCGTTTAAGTTGAACGCTCCCCTGAGGGTCGCGTTTGAGTTGAACGCTCCCCTGAGGGTCGCGTTTAAGTGGTGAAACAGACTCCTGAGAGTCATGTTCTATCGGAACGCGCCCCTGGGGGTCACGTTTGGTTTTGGCAGCTCCGCTCTGAGGGCTGCGTTTTGAAGTAACAATGCGCCATTCAGGGTCGCGTTTCAGCTGTATAAGCCGAGGCTCATAGTCGGGCTCGTTGCCGCGAAGTGAACGTTCTCCTTTGGGAACGCTAGGCTCGGTTGGATTTTCAGAAACGCGGTCCTCGCGTTGGGTCAGCATTCGGCTCTCACGTAAGTGTGCTCGTCGTATGGATCTTCTCCGTCGGCGAGCGGCATTCTTTTTGGCTTGTTTCAAAGCCTTAGCAGCAACGTCGCTGACGTTCACAGGGCCCGTTTCCTCCAAAGGCCGTTTGTGGCCCGAAGAACGTCTTGTTGACGCGGATGTGGGATCTTCCGCCAGCAGAGCCAGTTTGAGTTCTTGGCCGAAGAAGAGGGCTTTCTTCGGCACTTCGACAACAGAATTGACCTTCTTGGAGGTCTCGCGGACATCGTGCTTAGCCTTAGGGCTAAGTGATCCTGAGGATAAGACTTCCTCGTACTTAGCTTGATCAAACTCTACGACAAGAGTTTCTACAGTCGTCCCCATGAGGTGGACGTCGGACTGCGCCACCACTTCCTCGTCGGAAAAGCTAGTCCCCAGCAGAGTCGCCATCTTTTGTTTGTTGGAAAAATTGCAAAGAAGAGAATAAAGAAAATTGACGTGGATTCCTTTGATCTCGATTACAACTTGATTACAAAAGAGAAGAGAATGAATTTGATTCTCTCCTTTGTTTAAAACTGGGTTCTTCTCGGTAGCGATGGAATGCCTGCTTCGATTGCTCGCGTCGAAATTGCTCTCCGTTGACGATCCGACCGTCTTCTATCTCGTGGGAACGATGAACTTCTGTGGAAAATTTTATAAGTAACTATGCAATGAGTTTAAGAACTCTGAATGAGTTAGAACTCTGTATTCTGTTGTTGAAGAATCCTCTCAGATTTGATCTTCTGAGTTTGATTCAAAAATCCTATCTCCAAGGATTTTGCTGCTGCAGCTAACCCTTCGTGCGGTTGAGATCCTTCCGAATTTCCAAACCCGTGCGGTTCAGATCTGAAAAATCCGACCAGCTGGCCCTTATCTGTTTGAGAACTGAAAAATTTCCAACCTGAGCGGTTTAGATCTTCAGAATCCAACCTGTGCGGTTCAGATGCCAAAAATCCTACCCCTTGCTCTGTTGGGTTTGTTGAGATTTTATAGGGGGTAGGAGGTTGTAACTGACCCCTATATCCGCTCCTACGTGGGCGAACATCCCTCAGAACATGGGATAAATGGTTTTGGAACTGTTCGACTCATGTTTGAACGAGTCAAACGCCCATTCTGGCGTTCAGAACCCAACTTCGTGTCTTAGGATTGAGACGCGAGGTTGGGTGTTAGCTGAACACTATTAAACGCGAGGGTCACTCGCGTTTAGCTTGTTGCCTGCTTGGAAACACGGGGGTCAATGTTGGTTGAACCCCTATGAACGCGAGGGTCGCTCACGTTTGGCTTGTGCCTTGGAGACGCGAGGGTCGCCTGCCTTTCCATATTTGTAACGCGGGGATGACATCCGGGTTTCAGAAGGAGCTTTTTGACTTGTAGCTTCTTCTGTGAAGTGTTGCGAGGACCGTTGTTCAGTAATCCTGGCTTTAGCTGTTGTAGGGTATGAAAGTCGTCAGATTGTAACTTTCACCGTAGATTGTGAAGACTGCTGAATAGAGTTTTCATCAGTTGTCGGAAGTGTCGTTGAATTGTAACTCTTCTCGATCTATGTGAAAAGTCCTCTATTTGCCGCTTTCGATTGTCGACCCGAAAGCTATTTGATTGTAGCTTTTGTTGTGAGAGCTTGACGGGAATCAACATCCATAGTGTTTTGAAGATGGATATTTGCCCACAGCTCTCTACCAAGCAACTATTTGATTGATTGTCGGCGCGAAAACTATTTGATTGTAGCTTTCGTTGTGAGAGCTTGACGGGAATCAACATCCATAGTGTCTTGAAGACGAATATTTGCCCACAGCTCTCTACCAAGCAACTCACCACCTAAGTCCAACCTTTTCTTTCTAAAATCATTACACTGCTCATCAGCATCTCCAATAGTTGCTAATAATACTATTCATGCTGTTGTCGCAGCCATCAAGATCAATCATCTCAGAAGTGAGGTCGCGTTTGTGGCGATTGTGGAGTTGCGGATGCAGTGATTGGGAAGTCGTCTGATTGTGACCTCCATTGTCGGAGCTTATTTGGATCAGCTATCTATTATGATTTTTAGACAGCCTACACTGTGCAGGTGAGCTTCAATACTATCAGGCGAGCTTGTCTTTCAGGCGAGCTTGGGTCATGCAGGCAACCTTCAAGCTATCAGGCGGGCTTCAATGCTATGTAGGCAAGCTCCGAGTGTTGACAGGCGAGATTGCTTTTTAGGCGAGCTTGGCCCTCATGCGAGGATATGCAGGCGAACCTCATAGGCAAAGTTGTGCAGGCGAGCTTCGCTTAGTTCGGGCGATCCCCAATGTTCGGGCGAGCTCTATCCATATAGACGGACTTCCTTACAGGTGGACTTCACCCTTTTCAGGCGAGCTTCAGAACATGCATCGAAGAACAGGTCATAACTTTCAAACCGTAAGTCGGAATTAGATGAATTATATATGAAAATTAACTATCTTGACGAGACGGAGCCAACCAAACCCACCCGAAGGGTTTGGTTTGCTCCCGTCCGTTTCTCCAAATTCCTTCCGGTTTGATAGATATCAGCGTTTTCCCCTTTTTGCTATTTCGGGCGAGGTTTTAACATTCTTGTTCTGAACTTCTCTAATAGGGATTAAAGGCAATTTTTATTGCCTACAGTCAGTTCAAGTGATTCATGAATATTTTCATATTTTGGGTTTATTTACTTCACTTCTCTATTTAAAAATAAAAAAGCTTGATTTTTTAAAGGATATCTCTGAACTTCCTCATAGTTTTTTCATGCAAAATTCCTTGTATTTTTTTACTTTATAAATATTATTAACATCAGAGATAAATGTTTAAACATTATAATTAATTAATGCTAACTTATTATATTATAGTCTTTTGTTAGTTTTATGCTATTTAGTCTTCTATCAGTTAATGTTGTTACTAATATTATATGTAGTTCCTTAAATTTGTATAGTAATATTAATTTTTAATCTGTTATATATTTTTAAAATTTTTATTCCTTAACTTGATAGTTTTAATCTATCGTAATTGTTATTTTTTTACCAACGTCAACTTAGACTACTTTTAGATGCTAAAAAGGGATGATAAACTTTAAATTGAAACTTAAATTTATATATCTTAATGAAATAACATCAAAACATTTACTTTTTTCATTGCCAAATTTTAGCCTTTTATGATTTTAAACTTTTGAGTGTGTGTTTTGTAATTTTTTAACTTTAATATTATTTTTTTGAAAATTTTAAATTTTATGTTGAGTGCTTGTAATTTTTATGTTTTATGAGTTGGTGGTAAGGTTTTAAATGTTAATATGTTTCTTCAACTCTGAAATTTTGAGTGTGTTTTTTATAATTACTAAACTTTGAGTTGTTTTTTGATAAATTTAAATTTTCAATGATTTGCTGATAAGTTTTACATTTGATGTCTACCGGTTCTAAGTTTTGAAATTTCAGGATTTTCGCGATTTTTAAATTTTGAGGGAGTTTTTATAGTTTATGTAACTTTAAAGTTATTTATTACAAATTTTAAGTTTTTAAGTACCTAATTGTAATCTGTGAAATCTATCTATATTGTTTGCAAGTTTTGAAGTCATTGATTTTTGGGTGCTTTTCCTAATTTGAATTTTTGAGGTTGTTTCTACAGGTTTAGAAATTTTGAGAGTATAATTTTAATTTTTAAATTCCTCGGGGCCTGTTTTTAATTTTTATATTTCATGTTTGTTATTTTAAGTTTTGAAAAGTCACGGTTTTTTGGGTAATTTTAAACTTTTAAAGATATTTTGTGTAATTTTTGAATTCTTAATCTTATTTTTTTAAATTGCTGAGCTATATGTAGTTCATGTGGAGTTAATATAAGATATAATTAGTATTTAGATAGATTAAGATTTAAATAAAAATTTTAAAATAATATTTTTAAATTGTTGAGCTATAGATAGTTCCTGTGGAATTAGATAAAATATAATTAGAATTACAATAGATTAGAATTTAAATGTAATATTCAAAATAGTGAAGAGTAATATTGACCATAGAAGATTTTTCAAAACTCATGTTTTTAAAGGGAGTATGATATGATATGATATGATATGATATGATTTATTTCAAACCCGCCACTTCTAAATCACCTTAAGAAAACTCACCTAAATTATATTTAAACTCACCTTGAATTCCACCAGTTTGATGTGTAAGTTGCTATATTTTTTTTATTATTTACTATTTTTTGTTCTGACTTTTTATATATACAGAATATTTAAGTTAAACTTGTTAGTTATTTTCACCACGTTATTGCACAGGTAAATTTTGCAGGTTAACCCTCAAATTTAATTTGTATATGGATGGATGTTAGCTTTCTTAGGGGACCCGAACCCGACCCGTTCCCGCCCGTTAACTTTGGGGCGCGAAATCAAGTACACGTATGTATCACCCGCTACGAACGCGTGTAACGTCTTCTCTCTCATTTTATTTGTCAATCGATCGAAAAGTTCGGCCATCTCCCCGAATTAAAGTAAGCCCACCATAAAAACTCTGCCCTCTCGAGCGAGCTCCTTCATTCAACGGCCATGGCGATTCTAGGGCGATCTCTTCTCCGACTTCACAAAAACCTAACACTAACTCGATCTACATCTCATCTTTCCATTTTAAGGTCTTCTTTTCTACACCTCCCTCGCTCGCTTGATTTCTAGGGTTTCATATTATTTCATGTTTTTTTTCAATCTTGCAGGTCTCAGGTTGGATCACTTTCTCGATTGTATTCTGATTTCGGATCGATTGAAGTCGATCTCTCCAACGAAGAAAGCAAGCGGCGGCTGCATAACAGGTTTCCTTTAATGATTGTTCTTTTCCTTTTTAAGGTTAATTTTGAGAAAATCCCATTGATCTTTGGGTAATTTGCACAAAGTGGTCATGAAATTTAAAAATTAGAGAAAACTACCATAAACATTGGGGAATTTCACAAAATAGATCCACTGGTCTTTGGAGAAAGTTCCATTATTGGGTTTGTGGGAAAGAGAGAGTGTAGAGAAACCAGAAGAAAAAAAAGTATTAGGGAGGGAATTTTGTTTTACGGTTTCTAAAATAAACGGAATTTCAGAAAACATTTCGAAAGTTTCTGTTAAATTCCTCAAAAGTTTACGACAGGTTTCTCTAAATAATAAATTCCATGGCCTTTACGTGTATATCACCCAAAGTTCAGGCGTGTACCCTTTCTTAACCCAAGTATGAGATTGCTGATGTTTAGAGTTAAAATGTTGGTGTTTTTCTTTCTGTAGGTTATTGTATAGGAGTAGGCAGAGAGGATATCTTGAGCTGGATCTGGTTTTAGGAAATTGGGTGGAGGAGAATATCAAAACAATGGATGAGCCCAAAATTAAAGCACTTGTAGATGTTCTCGACTTGGTAATTTGTGAAACTTGTTTTATTAGTACTTTGTTTTTATTAGCTTTTGTAGTTTTATTGTTGTTGGGGTTTTAGATTTTTTTTAAAGGTTCTTAGTTGCAAATGAATTTTCTGTTGTTTTAAACATTATTAGTTTAATTTAACTACGACATGGCTTTCCACTGATCTTTGTTGCTACTTCATAATATCTCTTCATAGTATTATAAGATGTTAATAATTAGAAATCTATAAGGTCTACTAATGCAATATCTTGGCGTGTAGGTTAAGAAGAGTATTATCCCAGATTATATTTATTTATACTTTTCAACTTTAACATTTATAGAGAACTCTATGCGTGAAATCAAATAAATCCTTAACTAGATGAGGATATAAGATCATTGGTCACTAAATCATAAACTTAGCTAATTTTAAAATAAACCTATTGAATTAGAATCTCAATCAAATTAAGACTGTTTCTATTTTCAATAATTATTATATTTGTTTAAAGATCCAAGAGAAAGAGTAAAAATATAAAATATGAAAGTCATAGTTTTTTTTTTGGGGGGGGAGGGGGTGGAGGAAGGGAGGGAAATATTGGTTCATGGTTTTAAATATTCTTGATATAGCCCAATACATCAGCCGATATATCCTTTTATAACGCTCGCCTCAAAACGATATGGTCTTTATGTACTTTACCGCTTTTTGGCAATTTTTCGTTGATACATACCCAATATGGCCGATATGTCAACCGATATATTGGCCAATATATCCTTTTATATGGCCTGCTACAAATCAATATAGTTTTGCAAAATTTTTTATGGTTTTAAGCAAAAGTTTCATTCTTTGGAGTTTTTTTATCAAAATACTCGTATGCTCATTTCTTCCCTAAGTTTCTATAATTGGTTATTAATTGTAAAGATATATTTTCTACATGTTTATATGCTTCAACGTTACAGAAGACGTTAGGTGGACTAGGCGTTTGATCTGAGGCCTAGCGCCTAGGTGTTTGTCTATTTTTTAATTTATTTAATTATGGTAATTCACAAAAATATGTATTAAGTTCAATATAAAATTGTAAAAAAAAAGAAATAACAAGATTAGATCCATAATCAACCATGCACAAATACTAAATAGCCAAAATAGTAACCAAAATACTAAGAAACATCACCATGTCCAACATAACAAGTCATCACAATAGCAAATAATATCGCCAAGTTAGAAGTCTAAATGCTCAAGAAGAAAAAAAAACACGAATAGTCTAAGTGTCTAGCATGGAATAAAATCATATAATCTAATGAAGTCATCACCAATCATCATCATGGAAATCCTCCACTGCATGATCGCTCTCCTCTGAGTTCATGTCCACAAAGTCCTCATCCTCATCCGTAACATCATCGTCAGAGGCAAGAGATTCTTCTTCGCTAGTAATCATCGAAGGTCCTGCAGCTTCTGCTATTCTTTCACTCCTTCAGTTTGTCGCAACCTCAACGGCTCTAGATATATTCTCCATCATCGTCCAACTAACACCTGAATCGGGATAAGTCTCTTGCTCCTCATAGGAGGGGACTCCATCTGGGATCCATGCACGTGCCGTAGTATGATCCTGTGTTGTTAGCACGTCTTTGTCTTCTCCCCTCCTCTTCTTTTGCTTGAGCTTGGCGATTAAGGGTGGCCATTTTGAGGAGTAGGGGGTGATGAATTTTGTTTTTCTAAAGAAGAAATCACCCGGGGGTAGGGTTTGTTAGAGGCAGTGTTTTTTTGATATCATGATGATTTAAATTAACTCAATTCCAAAGAAGGTTAGTCCAATTTTATTCAAAAGAAAATAAATAGACTGCAATTACATAAATTTTAGGGTTAATTGCAAACATGTCTTCCGTTGTATCACTCAATTGCAAAGAGACCCTCTATGGTTCTTATTGTTGCAAATAAACCCCTGTAGTTCTACATGTTGCAAATGACCTATAGTATTAGCCCGAGAGCGAATACACCCTTTTAGTGAACTTTTTTGACTCTTTTAATAGTTAAAAAAAAGCAATTAGATGTCAATCATCATCAATAGAACTATGAAGGGTCTATCTGCCGCCTTAAGTATTTTTAACGATTTTGAGAGTAAAAAAATTCACTCATGTGGTCTACTCGCAAGAGGTAGAACTACAAGGGGTCTATTCACAACAAATAGAACAACTGGGGGTTTCTTTGCAATTGGGTGACATTATAGGGTTAACCCAAAAAAATTTAATGTGGTTTAAACTTTGTTTTAACTTTTTTTGTAATATACTAACCACTATAGTAGTGTTCATATTTGCATGTTAGTTGCATAACATCCCTCACAAATCCGAGCCATTCAAGAAACTACAACATATATTATATTATTTATATATGATACTCGTTTAGTTACCCCTTGCAGTTCTGCTTTGTAGGCTCATCCTATGATCATTTATTCATTTCATTTGCTGTTGAACTATTGCAATTTGGATATTAATTGGGGAAAATAATGCACACCAAATCTTTACGCTTTGAATATTTTTATAGCACCCATTATCACAATGGTTTTCAAGACAAATTTTATACTGTGAAGCCTTTTTTGATGGGTTCATTCTTTTGTGGCCCTACAGAAGCACTCCCTCTAAATGGGATAAGCTAGTCCATGACGAAAGTCTCTAAAAGGTTTAGCTTCATCCTTAGGCAAGAGGCTTACCTGCAGAATATAGTTCATCATATCATGTTGTCTACTCTGAAAAAACATTTTGCGGAATAATTTTGATTCAGAAATCCTTTGATATGTAGTCTCCTCCCAAAAAATCGTTACTTCCAACCCTACCAAATTTAGATGGAAGGGCAGGCAAGTATCCCCATGAATCTTTCTCTAATCAAATGTTTGGTTAGTTAGCATTGGCTACTTTTGACCTTCTGTCATTTTTTTTGACATGGACTGTATCAGCTAATTAATCTTATTGGGTTGTATTTGAAGTTTATATGTAGATCCATCTAGATTTGGTGACACAGACAAGTGTATTTCTTAGCAGCAGATACATAGGTCAAAGAGACTGCAAACTGCTAGAACCTAGAATCAGGGAAATTGGAGATATAGTTGTACTGGTATACAGTGAAATATGTCCTTCGATAAATATCACAAGACCAATTTGAATTAAATAAGCGAGTTGGGAAATTATTTTTATCCATGGATATACAATGTGAACACTTGATGCTTTTAAATGAATAGATTAAATGACCTTCATTTAGGGATGTCGGATCGATCTTTGGTTGTCATCATTATAGCATTCAGATATGCACCCAACAAGAAGTATCATGAAGTGTCTTTCCTTGAAGAAAACATCTTCTCAGGCTTTTGGGTTCTCTAATTTATCCCTCTGGCCACAGTTAGACAGTAAGCAAACACCTCAAAACACAACCTTTTCTTCTTTTATACTTCCTATTTTCTATCTTTCTTTGCCTTTCTTAATTGCTCTGCGATTGTTATTTTTTGTTCTTCATTTTTCCTGAATTTAAATCAAAGTCCCCTGGCATAGAGGTTTATCCATGTTGATCAATGTGAACAACTACTGAGACTACACACAGAATTGTTGTGCTCGGTGGAAAACTGTTCCTTCTACTGCTGCACTTAGGGGTGCCAATAATATCCATATCTGTAGATATATCCCTATCTGATATACGAATATGGTTGCCAACCATCTATATCTATCACGGTATGGTTACAGATACGGATCTATATCCGGAATATCTTAATATATGATGATCATACAGTTGCAATTATTTCAATTCTTAGATCAATGGATTCGAGATTAATTTTGATGATCAAAGCGATCTAGTCTTAGCTTTCAGATGCAACAAATAGGTTAATGAATTCTCTTATATCATATGAACTATATTTTTTTAGTCTTATCTGGCTTTCTCATATTTGTTTTGTGTCTGCATGTATACCTACAAAGTTTGTGTGTGTGTCTATATATATATATATATATATATATATATATATATATTATGAGAAAAATGGAGAAACTTGGTACCGAAGTTGTTCCAACGCAACTTGGTAGTGATGGTGGCCTAATCTTGTCCCTACATCTACATTGGAGTTGTTGAAGGGTAGTTGAGGCTCTATCTTTGAGGTGTGATGTAGGGGCAAGATTATAGCCACATCACTACCAAGTTGTTGTGGACAACTTGGTACCAAGGTTTTTCATTTTTCTCTCTCTCTCTTTTAATATATATAATATATATATATATATATATATATATATATATATATATATATGCTTGTTATCTATATTCATTTCAAGAGATAATCATATTTGTGTTCATATCTGTGATTGGTAAATGGATATGGCATAGGGTACGTATTATGTAAAATATTATATCTGAACCGTATCCAATTCATTTGCACCCCTAGCTACAATACTTATGTGGGTAGTGCTAAGAATATCATGTTCTTTGCTCATTTGCCGCGTAAATTGGAGCTTCTTATAATAATTTTGACATAGGGTTCCTAAGCTTTCTTGGTGGTCTTTAATTCAAATCAATAGAAATAAAATATTGTCCTCAATTTTGGGTAATAATATCTGTCTTTAAACTAACCGTTGACATCTTACCAATAGTATTTTCTACGGGTTCTTGTTATCCTTGGCATTATATGCTTAATTCCTATTTATCAATCTTGTTCTTTCATTTTGTGTGGGCATGGGCGTGGGCCAAACTAGTTCATGCAAGTGAACCAACCCGCAGGGTTCAAGGCCGGGCTGGGTTGGACCTAGGCGTATGCGAGTCAGAGTGTGCCGGACTTGCCTCTCTGATCTAGGGTCTGGGACTAGAGCCACCCTAGCCCACGACCCACTTAAGGGCGGACCGGGCTGAAATCAACCCACGGCCTATGTTTTTTATCATTTTTCCAATTTAAAATATATTAAGCGTATTTAT